ATAGAAGGAATTCAAGAAATATTTGTTAATTATATGAAAAATAGTGTTAATTGTCCTTATGTTGACTGGAAGTGCCAGTGTTGGAACTCTTAATACATTTTGTGTAATGCCCCTCTTCAGGTATCTAAATTTTAATAGAAGATCTCTGAAGGGCCCTAAACCTAATTTTTTATAGAGAAAAATACAATGTGCTTCTGAAGGAAGAGCCATTTCATTTGAGGCATTGTTAACATAACAAATCAGAAGAAGGGTCATGGGTGGCCACTTTAAATACCTTTAAAAAGTCTTATATTTTAATAAATAATGCAAAATTTAAAGACATGCAGAAGATTTGAGCACTGAACATGTGAAATGAAGTTAAAAAGGTACAAACTTTCCGTTATAAGATCAATAAGGTCTGAAAATCTAAAGTACACTGAGTGGCCAGATTATTATGACCAGCCAGATTATTATGAACTCCCCATCAGTACTTCATTGACACTTCCAAAACTACTGAATATTGAAAACTTCCTAAGCAAATACTCTCAAGGTTTCATTATTATTATTATTATTGTTATTATTTGCATAACTAATTTACTTCATTGTACTGATGGGGTGGTCATAATAATCTGGCCAGTCATAATAATCTGGCCACTCAGTGTATAACATGACTGTAATTGATAACACTGTGTTGTACAATTGGAATTTGCTAAGAGAGTAGAAATTTAAATGTTCTCACAAAAAAAATATGTTAAAAAATTAAAATGGGGCACATCGTTCAAGAGAAAGGGCATGACTGAAATGTAAAGAGGGCTAAGGCTACACATTTTGATTAATGTGTTGTGCTAAAAATGAAAGAAAAGTAAATTCATATTATTTTTAATAAAAAAACTAAAATCTTTCTATTTATATTTTAATGAGGGGTGGGAAATTACAGAAGCATACAAAACGTGGCTTAATTCTCCATAAGTGAATGTATTGTAAAATACCAGTTTCAGAAGTTGAATTGTTCCAGTTGGTAACAGGATAAGGCTTTTTGGTCTTTTCTTTTCTTTTCTTTTCTTTTCTTTTCTTTTCTTTTCTTTTCTTTTCCTTTTTCTCTTCTTTCTTTCTTTCTTTCTTTCTTTCTTTCTTTCTTTCTTTCTTTCTTTCCTTTTTTTGTATGTGTTACAAATTTTAAAACAGTGCTTATTTTTGTTTAAGGCTTTTTTTTAAATTAGAGATTTTGCTTATTAAGAGTAAAATTAACTTCCTCCTTTTGAATTTGGATGTCTTTTATTTCTTCTTCTTGTCTGATTGATGTGGCTAGCACTTCCAGTACTATCTACATATATAAAAGCCTAAATGACCGAACCGGTTGCTATGATGTGCACTGACCACTAGAGGGCAGACACTCAATGCAGGAGTTGTCCCCTGGTGGTCATTGCACTCCCACAGCCAACCTCCCGTGGCCAGCCAACCTCCTGCAGCCCCTCCCCCCTGGCCGATTGGCCCCAATCGCCGGCCAGGCTGAGGGACCCCACCCATGCACGAATTCATGCACCAGGCCTCTAGTGTTGAATAAGAGTGGTGAAAGTGGACATCCCTGCCTTCTTCCCAATCTTAAGGGGAATGCTTGCAAGTTTTGTCCATTGAGTATGATGTTGGCTGTGGTTTTGTCATACATGGCTTTTAATTACATTGAGCTATGTTCCCTCTATTCTCACTTTGCTGAGAGTTTTTATCATAAATGGGTGCTGGGTTTTATCAACTGCTTTTTATGCATCTGTTGATATGATCATATTTTATCCTTCAGTTTGTTTATATGGTGTATCATGTTTAATGTTTTGTGGATATTGTACCAACCTTGCATCTCTGGAATAAATCCCACTTGATCATGGTGTATGATCTTTTTAATGTATTGCTGGATTTAGTTTACTAATATCTTGTTGAGGATTTTAACATCTGTGTTCATCATGGATATTGGACTATAATTTTCTTTCTTTGTCATACCTTTTGTGGTTTTGGAATTAGGATAATGCTGGCCTCTTCCCTCCTCTTGAATTTTTTAGGTTAATTGAGAAGGATAGGTGTTAGTTCTTCTTTGAATGTTTGGTAAAATTCACCTGTAAAGCCATCAGGTGCAGAGCTTTTTTTTGTTGGGGGATTTTTGATTAGTGCTTGAATTTCACTAGTATTCTGTCTGTTCAGATTCTCTGATTCTTCTTGATTTAGTTTTGGAATGTCGTATGTTTTTAGGAACTTAATCCATTTCTCCCAGGTTGTCCAATTTGTTGGCATAGAGTTGTTCATAATACTTTTTTTTGTTTGTTTGTTTTTTTTTGTTTGTTTTTTTTTTACAATCCTTTGTGTTTCTTTGGTATCATTACTTCTTTTTAATTTCTCTCTTTTTGTTTCTTTTTGTTTCTTGATAAATCTGGTTAAAGGTTTGTCAATCTTATCTTTTCAAAGAACCATCTCTTTGTCTCATTCATCTTTTGTATTGTTAGACTCTATCTCACTTATTTCTGCTCTGTTATTATTTCCTTCCTTCTACTCACTCTGAGCTTTGTTTGGTATACTTTTCCAAGTTTCTTTAAGTGTAAAGTTACAGTGTTTATTTGAGCTTTTTTTTTTTCCCTTGAGCTAGGCCTGCTTTTCCTGTGCCCCACAGATTTGGAGTTGTTGTGTTCTCATTTGCATTTGTTTCAAGGTACCTTTTGATTTCTTCCTTGATCTCATTATTAACTGATTCATAGTTTAGTAACATGTTATTTTTCGTCCATGTCTTTATGTGTTTTTTCAATTTTTTTCTTGTGATTCATTTTAAGTTTCATAGCATTATAGTCATAGAAGATGCTTGATATAATGTCAGTCTTTTTAAATTTATGGAGACTTGTTTTGTGTCCTAACATGTGGTCTATCCTAGAAAATGTTACATATCCACTTGAAAAGAATGTATATTCTGCTACCTTGGTGTGAAATGCTCTGAAGATATCAATTAAGTCCTTCTGATCTAGTGTGTCATTTAAGGCCTCCATCGCTTTATTGATTGATTTTCTGTCAGGAAGATCTATCAGTTGATGTCAATGGGATATTAAAATCCTTACTATAACTATATTACTGTCAATCTCTCCCTTTATGTCCATCAAGCCTTGCTTTCCATATTTAGGTGCTCCTATGTTGGGTGCATAAATGTTTACAAGGGTTATGTCCTGTCTTTGAATTGATCCATTTGTCATCATATTGTATACTTCCTTGGCTCCTACGATATCCTTGGTTTTAAAGTCTATTTTGTCAGATATAAGTATTGCTACCCCAGCTTTTTTTTTTCTTTCCATTTGCATGAAATATATTTTTCCATTCTTTTACTTTTAATTGTTGTGTATCTTTTGCTCTGAGGTGGGTCTCTTGAAGACAGCATAATCATGTATCTTGTTTTCTTATCCATTCAGCTACCTTATGTCTTTTTGATTTGGAGTATTTAAGCCGTTTACATTTAAAGTGATTATTTATAGGTATGCATTTATGGCCATGTTATTTTCTAAACTGTGTTCCTTTTTTTTTCTTTGTCTTCTTCTTCTTCTTTTTTTTTTTTAATTCTCACCTGAGGATAATTTTCCATTTATTCTTAGAGAGAGTGGAAGAGAAAGGGAAAGACAGAGAAATATCAGTGTGAGAAAAACACATTAATTGGTTGCCTCTTACATGTGCCCTGACAGGGAGGAGCCTGCAACCGAGGGACATGCCCTTGACCAAGATTGAACCTGGGACCGTTCAGTCCACAGGCCAATGCTCTATCCACTGAGCAAAACTGGCTATGGCTTCTTCCACTTCTTAAAGCAAGCCCTGAAACATTTCCTGTAATGCTAATTTAGTGGTAACAAACTCCTTTATTTTTTTCCTGTGTGGGAAGCTCTTTATTTCTCCTTTGATTTTAAATGATAGCCTTGCTGGGTAATGTAGCATTGATTGAAGGTCCTTGTTTTTTCATCATTGAATATTTCATGCCTGTCCCTTTTGACCTTAAATGTTATGTTGAGAAATCAGCTGACAGTCTTATGGGAACTCTCTTATGGGAACTGATTGCCTTTCTGTTGCGGCTTTTACGATATTCTCTTTGTCTTTAATTTTTGACATTTTAATTATAATGTGTCTTGGTGTGGGCTTATTTGGGAGGTGTTGGGGTGGAAGGATTGAGAAAAAGAAAGAAACTCATGGACATGGACAACATTGTGGTTATTAGAGGGTGGAGGTGGAAGACGGCATAGACGAGATAAATGGTGATGGGAAAAAATAAATTTAAAAATAATAAAAAATAAAGAGAAAAATAAAATATGCATACATAAAGAAAGTACATTTTAGGCCGAAACCGGTTTGGCTCAGTGGATAGAGCGTCGGCCTGCGGACTGAGAGGTCCCAGGTTCGATTCCGGTCAAGGGCATGTACCTGGGTTGCGGGCATATCCCCAGTGGGAGATGTGCAGGAGGCAGCTGATCGATGATTCTCTCTCATCGATGTTTCTAACTCTCTATCTCTCTCCCTTCCTCTCTGTAAAAAATCAATAAAATATATTTAAAAAAAAAAAAAAAAAAGAAAGTACATTTTAAATTATATATGTTTCATTTTTGATCATTAGGTAAGTATAGGCAGTATTAAAATAATATACCCCAATTTTAGGTATTTAATGTGTAGAGAAAATTCCTTCTGGTTTCATACTAGATTGATTAAAATATGTTATTCAAAATAACAGCAATATGTTATTAAAATAATAAAATATATTATTAAAAATTAGCAATATAGCCTTCTCCCTTGACTCTCTCCCCTCACTTCCAGAATTAAACATAGGTAAAGAGGTAGAAAATAGGTATTTTAAAAAGACTTTTATAAGTACTGGAGCCTACTTGATTTTCTTACGTCCTGAGAATACTCTTTAAGTAGTTACATAATATGTTATTGGGTTTGTTTGCATGTATATGGAATTAAAATAGAAACGTCAAGCACTATTATTAAATGTATTTTTCTAATTTTTTTTAAAATAGCTAATACACAGTTCCTGCCGAATGCTTCACTTTTTCACTAGAAGTAAACGATTTTTAGCAGCCAGTTTGTTCACTTTCACAACCCAGCATGTTTCTTTGAGATTAGCCTGGATTTTACAGAACCTGGTTGAGGTAAGAAAAGAGTTTGTGTGCTTGTGTGTGTGCGCACGTGTGGGACTTTGGGGTAGATTCAAGGAATAAGGATAGTAATTTGATTATTTGAAGGAAAATTAAGTATCCATAACATATTGGTATGGAAGACAAGGAATCTTTACTGAGTTTATTTTTTAAGCCTTTTTATTGTGAGCCATAGCACATATAGAAAAGTGAGCAAAACATAAACGTACCATTTGGTGATATACTTACTGCAGAGCAAATATCTGTAATGCTACTTGAATGAAGAACTAGAACACTAATACTATGTATTACATTTTCCTTACACTTTTACAATTTATATATCTTTTTCTCAACACTATACATTAGTTTTGCCTGAAAAATTTTAAACTTTGTATAAATGGAATCATAGTGTTTATTTTTTGTATTTTACTCCTTTTGCTATACATTATATGTGTGAAATGTATGTCTGTTATATGTAAATTAATATCCTTATATTTCTCTTGTTACTTAGTGTTCAATATATGATTTTACCATAATTTATTCATCTATTGTGTTTGTGTACATTTGAGTTATTTCTAGTTTGGGGCTATAATGAGTAATGCTATCTCTTGATGTATATGTAAATGTATTTCTGCTGTACCTACATACAGGAATGGAATTTTTAGGGCATACACACACACACACACACACACACACACACACACACACACACATATATACTAGTAGCCTGGTCACGAAATTCATGCACATTAAAAAGCATTAATTAGAGGAAATATTTTAATATTGCTATTTGCCCTTAAAGTGTCAGAGATGAAAGAAAATTAGTAAAATGTATATGAAAATCTCCCTCCTGTCAGGGTCTGGGGCGTACTGCAGGACCCAAAGTCAAGTCATCGCCCACCTGTGTGTGCCTCAAAATCACACGAAACCCAGATCTGGCTGGCCCCAACCCCTTCAAGCCCTGCAGGGCAGGGGCGGGGGGTGTTGCGTGCAGCCTCAGGTCCCCTGGCCTGGCACCAGGCCGGGGGCATGGCCTCAGGTCCCCCGTCCCGGTGCGAGGGCCTGAGGGCATGATGACCATTTGCATATTAGCTCTTTATTATATAGGATATATATCTTCATTTTTAGTGGATAATGTCAAACACTTTTCTAAAGTTTTTGATAATTTGCACACCCATCATCAGTGATTGAAAAGATTTATTTTATTTACCTTCATAATTTATATTTCAGTCTTTCCTGGTATCTGGTATCTCATTGTGACTTTAGACTGGATTATAAAAAACAAGATCCAATTGGTTGTTGTCTGTAGGACACACACTTCTTTAGATTCAGAAATACAAATTGGTTAAAAATAAATGGGATCCCAAGATGGCTGCAGAGTAGGGGAATACACTCACCTCCTCCCAGCACCAAATCAGATTCACAACTAAATTATTTTTTAAATTTTTTTCCATAGACAGAAAAGACTAATTTTTACTTGTGTGATTTTGAAGAACTCAAATATGGTGCTGCCAATCAAAACACAAATTGAGAGATTGTATAACATGGCATTAAAAAGGTATTTTCAGATTCCTTGTACTAAATTTTACTCTGTATGTTCAGCAGTTGCTGCATAATAATTGCTTCCATTACAACTAAATTATAGATTAGTCAACCTGAAAAAACAACTGAAGGCTAGTTCGATGGAAGTATTATAACCAAAGATCTACTGAAGAAACCACATTGAGACTGGCAATAATGGCAGAGATGATGAAAGAGCTGGCCTCACACCCACTTGTGGCAATTAAGAATCTGGAGGGATATCTCAGCTGCAAAGATCCCCCTGAGTAGCGAGAGGTTCTAATCCAGAGCACTAGGGCCAGGAAAAGGCACCTAGGTAACATCTGGTGGTGAAAATCAGTGGGGATTCTGCCTGCCTGGGAAAGATGGGAGTTTTCTAGAAACCCAGGCATTCTCTTCAAGGGCCAGCACACAGGGTCTTTTTTTCACCCAGAACTCCAGTAGAGAAAAGGTGACTCAGGGCATACAGGAGTCATAAAGATATCTGATGTCATGGTTTTGAGAAATGATCTGTGCTGAGTCCCTATCCCATACCGCCCTCAGACACCATCTTTTCAAGGTAGAGCACTCCTATCCTTATAGCACCAGTCTGGGGAGTGCACTATCTCAGTCTTCCAACTGCTGGTGGCTCCACTCTGCCAAGCTTATGTCCTTTAGAAACATCTGCTGGCTGCACCCAGATAGGACCTTCAGTGCACTCTTTTACTTGAGAAGCTCTTGGCAGAGACTCAGACAAACACTGATCTTTGTAACTCTGGAGTAGGAACCATCCATACCCTCCATTGTGCTGCCAGTGCCCTTCCTGTTCACTTGTCCTGTCTGATTCCCAGTGACCCCACCCTATTGAGCTTGAGTCTTGCAGAGGGGTCAGTTGGCGATACTAGCCTGAACCAGCGGTGTACTCTTTTTGAGGGAGCTAGGGTCAGAGACTCAGGTGGAGTATGGTATGGGTTCTGGAGTAGGGGCCACTTACCCTCACCCCCCACACTGAGTGCCTGACCGTGCTGTCTCCAAGCAAGAGGACCACTAGCCCTGTCCTCCTGACTTTGATCACCCCACTCTATAGAGCTCACACTTTGTGGAAGAGACTGTGGGAAACTGACCTTTGTACACAGCGTGACCCCTCCCATACACACCCAGGCCCAGTAGAAGCAGCCACTGACTGAATTGTTTGGTAGCTCCAGACAGGTAGCCCAAAGCCAGTTGCAGGTAGCATTTAACATCAACCTGCACCAGAACCCCTCCCAAGTGGACCCAGACCAACACAACCAGTGGTGGGCTTCAGACCACACCAAAACACAACCCAACTAGCCACACAAATGACACACCCAAAGGTAGGCCCACCCCAGACCCTACTGGGGCCAACTGTACCTTGAACCATAGAAGCTCATACAGTGTGGTTAGGGTCAATCCTAATAGTCAGACAGCCTGTGACTTAACACCATTAATGAACGATAACAGCATTCAAGACTCAATCACAACAGGAAGGCTCATATAAGTCACACAGGAGACATTCCTGGAGCTCCTAGTTCAGGTGATCCGGAAGATAGTACACGGAGCCCACAAAGACACAACAAAAACCACCATAACAAGTTTGGGAATCATAGCAGATCTACTGAATATATAGAGACAAACACAAAATGGCAGACAAAATGGGGAGACAAAGAAATGCCCCAAATGAAAGAAACAAGGGAATCACCAGAAAAAGAATTTTATGGAAGCAACCAAGATACCAGATCTAGAATTCAGAACAATGGTTATTAAAATACTCAATGAATTTAGGGGAAGAATAGATTATCTCAGTGAGAACTTAAAGAGATAGTAAGCACTAAAGAAGACATAGACCCCATAAAAAGAACCAGTCAGAAATGAAGAACACAATAGCTGAAATAAAGAATACACTAGAGGGAATCATCAGCAGGTTGGATAAAGCAGAGAATCTAATCAGCGATTAAGAGGACAAGATAACAAAACACCCAATCAGAGCAACAAAAAGAAAGAAGAATTTTAAAATATAAGGAAAGTCTAAGGGACCTTTGGGACAACAAAAAGCATGCCAATGTGTTCATCATTAGGGTAGCAGAAGAAGAAGAGAATGAGCAAGGGATCAAGAACCTATTTGAAGAAACAATGGCTGAAAACTTCCCTAATCTGGTGAAGGAAAAAGACACACCTGTCCAGGAAGCACAGAGAGGCCTAATCAAAATGAACCCAAGATAAATCATAATTAAAATGGCAAGAGTTAAAGAGAATCTTAAGAGCAGCATAGAAAGACAGTTCCCTACAAAGGACCTCCCATAAGGCTGTCAGCTGATTGCTCAACAAAAACAATTTGGGCAAGAAATGATTGGCATGAAATATTCAAAGTGATGAACAGCAAGGACCTACAACCAAGACTACTCTAACCAGCAAGGCTATCATTTAAAATTGAAGGTTAAATAAAAAGCTTCCCAGATCACCCCCCCCCCCCAAAAAAAAAAGCTAAAGGAGCTTATTACTACTAAAACCAGTTTTACAAGAAATGTTAAAGGATCTTTAAGAAGAAAGAAAGAAAAAAGGAACATGGTTATAAAGAATAAAATGGCAATAAATATGTACTTATCAGTAGTTACTTTACATGTAAATAGATTAACTTCTCCCATTGAAAGACATATGGTAGCAAAATGGTAAAGAAAACAAGACCCATATATATGCTGACTACAGGACACCCACCTCAAATGAAAGACACACACAGATTGCAAGTAAAGGAATAAAAAGAGATATTTTATACCAATGGAAATAGAAAAGCTGGGGTAGCAATACTTATAGCAGACAAAACAGACTTCAAAAAAAGACTATACTAAGAGACAAAGAAAGACACTACATAATGATAAAGGGATCAATCCATCAAGAAGATATAACCCTTATAAACATTTATGCACTCAACATAGGAGTACCTAAATAGGTAAAACAAATCTTGATGGACAAAAAGGGAGAGATCGACAGTAATACAGTTATATAAGGATTTTAACACCCCATTGATATCAATGGATAGATCTTCCAGACAAATCAAAAAGGAAATAGCAGACTTAAATGACACAACAGCTCAGCTGGTGTGGCTCAGTGGTTGAGCATCGACCTGTGAACCAGGAGGTCACAGTTCAGTTCAATTGCCGGTCATGGCACATGCCCAGGTTGCAGGCTTGATCTCAGTATGGGACGTGCAGGGGGTAGCCAATCAATGATTCTCTTATTGATGTTTCTATCTCTCCCTCTCCCTTCCTCTCTCTGAAGTCAATAAAAAAAATGGCACACTAGACTAGGTGGCTTTAATTGATATCTTTAGAACATTTAACCTCAAGGCAGCAGAATCTACATTCTTTTCTAGTGTACATGAAACATCTTCTGTGATAATCCACATGTTAAGACTCCAAACAAGTCTCAATAAATTCAAGATTGAAATCATATTAAGCATC